TATGTATGATACTCTATGTAATTGTATTTGTGTATACCTGAATAAACTTACTTACATACGAAAGGAATAATTTTCTACAGCTACCCCCAGTAACACATTTTCTCTTATGTTAGACTAGAGAAAATGTTATTCTTGCCGTCGCTTGTACAAGTTGTCTGGCTATGACATCTCATATTTATGTTCATTTATTCTACTGTGGGTGTATTTATCATTTTTATATATTATGTATCGTATTTATTATAAAATTTTGAAAATAATAACATAGATGGATTAACCCTTTGACTGTCGCGGCCGTATATATACGTCTTACGAGGTACCGTGTTTGACGTATATATACTCATAAATTCTAGCGGTTTCAAATCAAGCAGGAGAAAGCTGGTAGGCCCACATGTGAGAGAATGGGTCTGTGTGCTCAGTGTGCACCATATAAAAAAAATCCTGGAGCACGCAGTGCATGAGAAAAAAAAACTCCGATCATTTTTTTTTAATTAAAATGCCGACTTTGTGGTCTATTTTTGTATAGTATTTATGGTTGTATTCTCATTTGATAGAATGGAAAACATAGTATAGAAATAGAGGTGATTTTGATTGATTTTACTATAAAAAGAACCTGGAAATGGAGCTCAAAGTAGGGAAAATGTTTGATTTTTGCCAATGTTCAAAAGTAAACAAATGATGCCATTGTCTAATAAATGTCCAACTAGCCATTCTAATATGCAGTCATGAATGGGTTGATGTTATTTATACAATTATTACAGTATTGCAGTAGTCTGCATAATAGTAAGTCTTCTATTTTTTGTTTGAATAAAAATTCAAAATAGAAAGCAAGAGTAATATCAGAGGGTCCTGGAGACATGACTGATGAACAAAGAAAATGTTATTTTAGAGCCAGGAATGTCTGCATTGTTCATTCTGGACCTTATTTTGAAATTGTCATATTTTTTAATTTTCGTGAAATTGGCCAAATTGCAAATTTCTGACCATGTTATTGGGTAGTTGAAATCGGTAAATGGGCAGTTTCTTGTACTCAATCGATAGAAAAAATGGAGTTCTAAAGAAATAGCTATGAGTTTGGTCGACTGGAACAATGGAATTAGCCGAAAATAGGGCTCAAAGTGGGCGAAATCGCCGATTTGTAAATATCGCCGAGGTCGCTAACTTCGCGAGAGCATAACTCCGTCAGTTTTCCATCAAATTTCGTTTTTTTTGGTGTCATTACAATCGGGAAAAGATTTTCTATCATTTCATAAGAAAATAATTTTTTTTTTTTTGAAATTTTGCGGCACCAGGAGATACCTCAGGATTGGGGGTTGCGACAGTCAAAGGGTTAATGAAAATGTGTGTATTAACTTAATATACGACATTTAATGAGACTCGGTGATTATTATTATTATTATTATTATTATTATTAATAATAATAATAATAGTAATATTATTATTATTATCATTTCTAATATGGCGTCATTTGTGCAAGTCGTCTGGCTACCACATCTCATATTTATGTTTGAGAGTATAGTTTTACCAACGCTCTTATATGGGTGTAAAGCATGGGTGATGAATGTTGCAGTGAGGAGAAGGCTGGAGGCAGTGGAGATGTCATGTCTGAGGGCAACGTGTGGTGTGAATATAATGTACAGAATTCGTAGTTTGGAAGTTAGGAGGAGGTGCGGGATTGCCAAAACTGTTATCCAGAGGGCTGAGGAAGGGTTGTTGAGGTGGTTCGGACATGTAGAGAGAATGGATCGAAACAGATTGACTTCAAGAGTGTATCAGTCTGTAGTGGAAAGAAGGCGGGGTAGGGGTCGGCCTAGGAAAGGTTGGAGGGAGGGGGTAAAGGAGGTCTTGTGTGCAAGGGGCTTGGACTTCCAGCAGGCATGCATGAGCGTGTTTGATAGGAGTGAATGGAGACAAATGTTTTTTAATACTTGACGTGCTGTTGGAGTGTGAGCAAAGTAACATTTATGAAGGGATTCAGGGAAACCGGCAGGCCAGACTTGAGTCCTGGAGATGGGAAGTACAGTGCCTGCACTCTGAAGGAGGGGTGTTAATGTTGCAGTTTAAAATCTGTAGTGTAAAGCACCCTTCTGGCAAGACAGTGATGGAGTGAATGATGGTGAAAGTTTTTCTTTTTTGGGCCACCCTGCCTTGGTGGGAATCGGCCAGTGTGTTAATAATAATAATTATTCTACTGTGGGGTGTATTTATCATCTTCATATGTTATGCATCGCGTTTATTATATAATTTTGAAAAAAATATTATAGATGGATTAATGAAAATGTGTATATTAACGTAATATACGATATTTAAATGAGACTCAGTGATTATTATTGTCATTACTAATATGAGGTCTCGAGATATATAACACTCTTATTGATTTTAATGTGTACCTGCACGCCAGCACAGTATGTAAGTTTATTTAGGTATAGGTATACATAAGTATAATTATCAGAGTGTATATATAAAATATGAAATAACTTTTAAAAACACTTGAAATTTTGGAGTTTCCAGATATAATGGAGAGAGTGCTTACGGATCTCACATAGAATGTAAACAAACCGGGTGGGGCGCAGTGACCGTATTAGAAAGTCAGGTGGGGGGAGCTGTATAGCGAGTTTTGGTCATAATTTGAAATGACCGTATTAGCGGAACGCCGTAAAGCAAAATGCCATAAAGCGGGGCCCTACTGTACAATGTATGCATTCTGAAGGAGGGTGGGGATGTTGCAGTTCAGAGGGTCATTTGAAATTTGGCATCTGCACACTTCTGGCAAGACAGCTATTATGCGAATGATGAATTTATTTCCTCCTTTTAGGTCACCCCTATCTTAGTGGGAGAAAGCCTATGTTAAAAAAAAAAGTTACATTTGAACCCCTAAATAGAGTAACAACCCCTATAGTGCTCCTGTTTACCTCAGTCCATTTCTTAATTAGCCCATATTGAAGCATTTCCCATTTATTCCGACTTGCCTGAATGATGTTTAATAAAATTACATCATGCAAAAGAAAAAACTGTCTCAAATAATAGGCACCAGAAGGCTACATTATCCAGGTTTCATTTTATGATCAGGAAAAAATTGAATACAGTGGGAGTTATCACAGTTGCTCTCTGCTGATGACAGTTCTTTTGAGGATTCCAAGGTAAGTTGCAAAGGCTGGTGGACAAATTTGGGAAGGTATGTAAAAGTTATTTTCATATAGTCGGACTTGAGTCCTGGAAATGGGAAGTACAATGCCTGCACTTTAAAGGAGGGGTTTGGGATATTGGCAGTTTGGAGGGATATGTTGTGTATCTCTATACGTATATGCTTCTAAACTGTTGTATTCTGAGCACCTCTGCAAAAGCAGTGATAATGTGTGAGTGTGGTGAAAGTGTTGAATGATGATGAAAGTATTTTCTTTTTGGGGATTTTCTTTCTTTTTTTGGGGGGTCACCCTGCCTCGGTGGGAGACGACCGACTTGTTGAGAAAAAAAAAAAAAAAAAAATGTAAAAGCAGTGTAGTGTAAGTGTGCCTCTGGCAAGACAGTGATGGAGTGAATGATGATAAAAATGTTTCTTCTTTTTCAGGTCACCCTGCCTTGGTGGGAAACAGTTGACGTGTTAAGAAAAAAAATGTAATAAAAGGAAATAAAAAAGTGAATAGAAGAAAGAGCAAGTTAATAAGCACAGCAAAAAATCTAGGCAATGATAAGATAGAATATCAGATTGAAGGGAGTATAGAGTTAGTGGATGTTTTTAAATATTTGGTAACAAACATATCAGAAGATGGATCTATGAAAAACAAAGTGAACATTAGATGAGGGTGAAAAAAGGTGAGTGGCATAGAGAAGTTTATCTATGGAGGCAAAAACTGAATGCACCACAGTATAGTGATGCTATTTTTATATGGGTGAGAGGCACAGGTTTTGAAAGATGCAGTGAGGAGTTGACTAGAGGCAGTGGAGATGTCATTTTTAAGAACAATGTGTGTGGTGTGCATATCTTACAGAAAATTCAGAGCACAGAAATCAAAAGGCAATATGGGGTCACCAAGGGTTGATGTGGTATGGGCAAGTAGAGAGGATGGAACGGGACAGGATAATAGAGGGTATACAAATATGAACTGGTAGGCAGGAGGGGTAGGGGTCATCCCAGTAACAGTTGGAGGGTTTAAACATAGAGCAGGCTTGTGTGAGCATGTTATATAGACAGTGAAAAAGGACAAGTAGTTTTTAGTAGCTGTACTATTGGAATGTGAGCAAGGTTACTTTCATAAAGGTATACAGGGAAACTGGTCAGCCAATCTTGAGATCTGGAGGTGGGAAGTACAGTGCCTGCAATCAGATGGATGTGTGGGGAAGGTATTACAAATTGGAGAGCCACCTTAACTGTGATGTCTGCATATTTCAGAAAATACAGTTAGAGACTGAGTGATGTTGAATGTGTTTCCTTCTTTTTGTTTTATTTTATGTACAAAGAACTAAAATTGGTTGGCTCTACAACTCTGTAAAAATATTCTGTTTTAACAATCAAATTTACACTTGTATTATCAGGTAGCAGAGAGGATAATTTTGTGAAGGCACTCCCACTCTCCTGCATCTCACCCACTAAACATTTCTAGCATGCAGGCAGCAACCTAACAGAATAATGTACTTATAAATGTTCAATCTACAGGTCTTAAATTATCTCTACCAAAAATACACGAACTCTCCACAGGAATAAAAAAGTCCATATATAAAATACCAATGCACTTTGTTAGGAAAAACACATATATTCAGCATTTGGAAAATACTGAATTTATAGTTCTTGATGAATCTCTGCCAAATAAATGTCAGTTCTCTATACATGAACATACGCAAAGTATTAATTCACTTTCTAAAAGCATTAAGTTAAAATAATTTATGTTTGAATATCTACAATAATTGTAACTAAAGATCAGCATATCTACACAACTGGTTCTAAAGTGCCAATATGGTAAGTGCAGAACATCATAAGTCAGGGCCCTTTTGTCCCCAACACTAACCCAATTGCTCGTGGTAGAACTGATAATTGATTGGACTGGACTATAAGCTTTTGAAGGTCTTTGAGAAAACCAATCTCAGGAGGAAGCCCTTCCAGGCGGTTTTCTTCAAGATCCAGCACCCGAAGCTTCCTTAAGTTGCCTATACTTGAGGGAATTTTCTGTAAAGGTAACAGTTAAAATAAATAGTTATATGAAAAGTAAATAACATAAATACAATTTGCGTTTATTAAATACTGTACATTTAACCCTTTGAGGGTTTCGGCCGTACTAGTACGGCTTACGACCCAGGGTTTTTGACGTACTGGTACGCCTAAATTCTAGCGCCCTCAAATCTAGTGGGAGAAAGCTGGTAGGCATACATATGAAAGAATGGGTCTATGTGGTCGGTGTGCACAGTATAAAAAAAAATCCTGCAGCACACAGTGCATAATGAGAAAAAAAAACTTTGACCGTGTTTTTGGAATAAAACAGCGACTTTGCACTGTATTTTTGTATGGTATTTATTGTTGTATTCTAGTTTTCTTGGTCTCATTTTATAGAATGGAAGACATATTACAGAAATTGAGATGATTTTGACTGGTTTTACAAAGAAAAGTACCTTGAAATTGAGCTCAAAGTAGCAGAAATGTTCAATTTTTACCAAAGTTCAAAAGTAAACAAATCATGTCAAGCGTCCAATACACGTCAACTGGCGAGTCTAATATTCTTTCACAAGTGCGCTAATATTATTTATACCATTTCTACACTAATGCAGTAGTCTGCATAACAGTATATCTTCTATTTTTTGTAAGAATAAAAATTGAAAGTGGAAAGCCAAAGAAATATAAGAGGGGCCTGGGGATGTGACTAACGAACAGAGGAAATGTTATTTTAGTGCCAGGGATGTCTTTCTTGTTCATTCTGGACCCTATTTGGAAATTGGCATCTTTTGAAATTTGTGTGAAATTGGCAAAATTGCTAAATCCTGACCACTATATTGGATAATTGAAATCAGTAAATGGGTGGTTTCTTGTACTCATTCAATAGAAAAAATTGAGTTCTAGAGAAATAGTTATGATTTTTGTTGACTAGTACATTGGAATTGGCCGAAAATAGGGCTCAAAGTGGGCAAAATCGCCGATGCGTAAACATTGTCGAGACTGCTAACTTCGCAAGAGCATAATTCCGTATGTTTTCCATCAAATTTCATACCTTTGGTGTCATTATGATCGGGAAAAGATTCTCTATCTTTTCATAAGAAAAAATAATTTTTTTTTTAAATTTGGCTGACCCTGAGAACAAGTCTCGGAGAGGGCCTGTCGACCCTCAAAGGGTTAATCATGGATCCAAATTCTTTATGAGGCACACCATCACTCACAGTACTGTAAACCTAACTGCAATAAGTGTTTAATTAGACAAGGATCAGATAGTACCTAATGAACTCCCATCTTAATAAAAATACAAATATTAATAGGTATATAGCCTTTGTAAATATTCTCCATGGGGAAGTGGAACAGACTTCTTCCTCTGTAAGCCATGCGTGTTGTAAGAGTTGACTAAAATGCCAGGAGCAAGGGGCTAGTAACCCCTTCTCCTGTATAAATTACTAAATTTAAAAAGAGAAAATTTAATTTTTCTTTTTGAGCCACTCTGCCTCAGTGGGCAGGGTGGCTCAATACTGTAAATTTCAACATATGAATTTACATCTGAATCTTAATTTTTTATTTACAAAACCAAGAGCTAATTTATGATAGGTATAAAGCTGTCGCCCTATCTCAGTGGGAGAAAAAAAAAAACTAAGTAAGCTATGCCACAACTCTAGGCCCATAAGAATATCTGGTCTCTTATGGGCTAGTTTTACATGAATATATTAAATTTTTTCCTATTTTGGTCTTTTTTTTTTTCAACAAGTTGGCCATCTCCCACCTAGGCAGGATGACCCAAAAAAAAGAAAATTTCCAAAATGAAAATACTTTCATCATCATTCAACACTTTCACCTCACTCACACATAATCACTGTTTTTGCAGAGGCACCCAGATACAACATTTCAGAAGCACATATAAAGATACATAAAAAGTGACCTGTTCATATACATTTTTTATACAGCTCCACATCCCTTTATCCAAAATCCTTGGGGCCAGTAGTGTTTCGAATTTCAGAATGAAGGTGGGGTCTAGGGCAGCACCCTATTATCAAACATTAACACTCAGCAAAAACATATGAATACTCACATTAAGTGCGATAAATAAAGACTCAAATACAGTGAACCCCTGGATTATGTTGTCATCAGATTTCCTAATATTTGGAATAAGTAACAGTTTTTCGGTATTAGTCATTCGTCCCAAACGTGTCCATGTGGCCTGAGTGGTCCGACACACCATTTACAGCCAGTGTCCCATTGTTTATCAGCCAGTGAGGACGATCCCATGAGTTCATACGATACATTTTGCGTTATTCCATTCTTTTTAGTGCTTGTAGCTGCTAAATAAGCCACCATGAGCCCAAAGAAAGCTTGTTAGCGCCAGCCCTTTGGTAAAGAGGGTGAGAAACACTACAGAATTCAAGAAAGACATCACTGCAAAATATGAAAGTGGAGTGTGTGTCGCCGAGCTGGCCAGGTTCTATAACAAAGCCCATAGAACCATCGCTTCTATCGTGGCCAAGAGAAAGGAAATCAAGGAAGCTGTTGTTGCGAAAGGTGCAAATATGCTTACAAAACAGAGATCGCAAATACTGGAAGATGTGGAAACTTTGTTGTTGGTGTGGATCAATGAGAAACAATTATCAGGAGTGTGTGTTATGCAGTCAATAATTTGTGAAAAGGCAAGGCAGTTGCATGATGATATCAAAGAAAATGCCTGGAACTAGTGCTGATATTGGTGAATTTAAGGCCAGCAGAGGCTGGTTTGAGAGATTTAAGAATTGTAGCGGCATACACAGTGTGATAAGGCATGGTGAGGTTGCCAGTTCTGACAAAAAAGCAGCTTAAAAATTTTATTATTATCACACTGGCCGATTCCCACCAAGGCAGAGTGGCCCGAAAAAGAAAAACTTTCACCATCATTCACTCCATCACTGTCTTGCCAGAAGGGTGCTCTACACTACAGTTTTTAAACTGCAACATTAACACCCCTCCTTCAGAGTGCAGGCACATAGGTACATAGAGGCTGAAAAAATCAAATCCCAACAAGTGTTCAATTGTGATGAAACAGGCCTCTTTTGGAAGAAAATGCCAAAGAGGACCTACATTAGTCAGAAGGAAAAGGCCCTCCCAGGACACAAGCCTATGAAAGACAGGCTAACTCATGTTTTGTAGTAATGCTAGTAGGGATTTCAAAGTGAAGCTACTAGTGTATCACTCCGAAAATCCCAGAGTGTTCAAGAAAAACAGTGTCGTCAAGAGTAAATTGTGTGTGACATGGAAGGCAAACAGTAAGCCATGGGTCACAAGGGACAGCTTCCTTGATTGGTTCAATGTCATGTTTGGCCCCAGTGTGAAGAAATACACCTCCTGGAAAATAAATTGGAACTCAAATGCCTCCTGGTAATGGACAATGCTCCTGCTCATCCTCCAGACTTGGAAGAGCAAATGGTACAGGAGTTTTGTTTCATCAAAGTGAAGTTCTTGCCCCCTAATACCACCCTTCTCCTCCAGCCCATGGACCAGCAGGTCATTTCAAATTTCAAAAAACCATACACCAAAGCAGTTTCAAAAGTGCTTTCAAGTGACCTCAGACACTGAATTGACCCTAAGAGAGTTCTGGAAAGATCGCTTCAATATCCTCCACTGCATAAACGTTATAGGTAAGACTTGGGAGGGAGTGACTTCCAAATCTTTGAACTCTGCTTGGAGAAAATTGTGGCTACAATCTGTACAAGGGTTTGGGGCTGACCCTCTGAGGAGCCTATGCCAGTTGTGGAAAGTATTGTGGCATTGGGGAATTCCATGGGGTTGGATGTGAGTTTCAAAGATGTGGAAGAGTTGGTGGAGGACCACAATGAAGAGCTAACCACTACAGAGCTGCAAGAACATAAGAACATAAGAAAGAAGGAACACTGCAACAGGCCTACTGACCCATGTGAAGCAGGTCCATGTCCCCCCCCCCCTGGATTAGCCCAATGACCCACCCAGTCTGATCATCTCCACTCAAGGATGGAGCACAGCACCAGACCCACAGCACAAGCTAGTCAGGTCCAACTCACACCTGCCCACACCCACTCATGTATTCATCTAACCTATTTTTAAAACTACACAACGTTTTACCCTGAATAACTGCAACAGCAACAGACCACAGCTCAGGAAATTGCTTCTGAGGAGGAGGAAGAGAGGTGGAGGAAGGTGCCTTCTTTAAAGATTAAGGAGATCTGTACAATGTGGACAAAGGTGCAAACATTTTTAGATGAACTACACTCTGACAAAGCTGTTGCAGGTCGTGTTGGCAACATGTACAATGACAATGTTTTGCCCCATTTTAGGGAAGTTTTAAAGAAACGCCAGATACAGACCTCTCTGGAACACTTTTGAGAGACAGGGGTCCAGTCACTCTCAAACTGGTCCTAGTGGCATTAAAAAACAAAGAAGAGAAGTAACCCTAGAAAATGACTTGATACCTCAAGTCTTTATGGCAGGGGATTCCCCTTCCAAAAAATAGTACACCTCCATCCTCTCTCCTCCTCCTGTCTCATCACTCATCAACAAGTCTTCAATAAAGGTAAGTGTCATTTTAGTATTGTTTTATTCTGCATGTCTCATTGCTTTCTGTGTAGGGAAATGTATATTTCACATAAAAAATTTTTTTTTAATACTTTTGGGTGTCGGGAACGGATTAATTAGATTTCCATTATTTCTTATGGGGAAAATTTATTTGGAATTCGTCAGATTTGGGTTTAGTAACTCTCTCTAGAACAGATTAATTATGAAAACCAGGGGTCCACTGTACTAATACGGTTTATTTATAGAGTAATATATTGATAAATGAAATAATGGGATAATTATAGACCAGGAACACAATTCTCAAGTGATGAAGCACCACTTTGACAGAGGGAGTTTTTAAGGACTTAACTGATCACACATGTTCACCATATCGTCTATGGCGACTTTTTCACCTGTTTACAATGTCATCATCATCATCATCACTACTATTCTCATGCTCATTTGTATTTAACACCATTTCTTTAAATCATAAACAGTGGTAGTTCCAACACCATATTCTTCAGTAAGACGCCGCACTGACACACCACGATCAAGCTTCTGCAGTAACTACATTCTGCGTTATTGATAACATTAGATGCTTCCTTTTTCTTTTTCTCACTGTTAACCAAAGGGGTATCTGCAGCTCTTTTTGACATTTTCAGTGAAATTAAACACAGTCACAAAATGAAAAGCAAAAACAAAATATCAGCGAACAGCAGAGGCACGTGTGAACACTACAAGCGCTGAGACACCAGTGACGCCTGCCACTCTGGCTCTCAGTGACTGACACTCCACACTCCATGAAAAAACTATGGTTTTCGGAGCTTTTCGAATTTCAGAATTTCGGATAAAGGAATAGGACCTGTATGTGAATTTTTGATATATGTGTGTTATGATATGTGTTATGATATATGATATGTTGTGTATCTCTATACATATATGCTTCTAAACTGTTGTATTCTGAGCACCTCTGCAAAAGCAGTGATAATGTGTGAGTGTGGTGAAAGTGTTGAATGATGATGAAAGTATTTTCTTTTTGGGGATTTTCTTTCTTTTTTTTGGGTCACCCTGCCTCGGTGGGAGACGGCCGACTTGTTGAAAAAAAAAAAAAAAAAAAAAGTGTGTTATGCTCATATGTGACTGATGCATGCCATTTAACTTGGTGCTGCAACATTCAAAAGTTAAATGGATAGATAACTGTGAGGCACTATATAAGTTAAGCTAAGTAGATAATATATAACAGTGAATCTTTGAAAGTATATTTGCTGCTTTTTACAGTTTACTGATATATAATAAATTTCAAAGTTATCTTGGTGTGTACCTAGATATTTAGCTAGTACTGTACCTTCTAATTAGGTGTTGTTTATTTTGTTCTCAATCCAAGCATAATGAGCTTACCTTGAGATGATTGTTTGATAGTATAAGAACCTCTAAGTTCTGTAAATGTGATATATCATCGGGTACTTTGGTCAGATAATTCGTGCCTAAATTAAGTTCCACCATGTTCATCCATGACCCAATATCTGAAAAATTAAATGAAAAATGTTATGTATATCACACAAAATTAACTAATTTATAAACACTTATTTTGTTTACATCAACTAAAGCATTACCCTAGAATAAAAAGTATTCAAGGTAAAATTCATCTTATTTGTTAGTCATTCATACACATCAGCCATTTCACTAATGATTGTTGAAGCAATTTTACTGCACAATGCTCCTTATGACTGTGTATTACAACCAGCCCATACCTAATATCAGTCCACAAAACTAGGAAATTATAGTAATATTTTATATATTAATTTTCACTACCCTCTTGTGAAGATTATACAGAAAGCAAATTTCGTATTAGCTTTTTAGTTTTCTTCCTGTTTATAGAGAACACTGTTCATCACACATTTAGATAGATCTTGAACAGACTATTACACCTAACATTATGCTTAAATGTTATATTATTTTTATAACATTCATTTGGAAGCACTACACCCATTTAGGTCATACAACACCTAGGGGAATGAGAGGTAATCTAGTTTCATCCAGGGAAGGGAAAGGCAGTTTAACTCCCAAACTCTCAGTTATGGCAGCATCATTCCTACTCAAGTCTAGTTATGGATGGATGAATGAAACACATGTACAACACATATTTATCTTTATTGTGGAAATGTTTTGCCACAATAAAGAGGATCCAAGTGTTACACGTATCTTGCTCATCTATCTGTCAGTTTTCTAAACCATTAATATAAAGCATGTGTGAGCATGTTATATAGGAGTGAATGGAGACAAATGGTTTTTAGACTTGACGTGCTGTTGGAGTGTGAACAGGGTAATATTTATGAAGGGATTCAGGGGAAGTTTTTCTTCTTCTCTTTTTTAGTAAATGTCTACAGGAGAAGGGGTTACTAGCCCATTGCTCCCGGCATTTTAGTCGCCTCATACGACACGCATGGCTTACAAAGGAAAGATTCTTTTCCACTTCCCCATGGACAATAGAAGAAAGAACAAGAGCTATTTAGAAAAAGGAGAAAAACCTAGACGTATGTATATATATATGCATGTGTGTGTCTGTGCAGTGTGACCAAAGTGTAAGTAGGAGTAGCAAGATATCCCTGTTATCTAGCATGTTTATGAGACAGAAAAAGAAACCAGCAATCCTACCATCATGCATAACAGTTACAGGTTTCTGTTTCACAGTCATCTGGCAGGACGGTAGTACTTCCCTGGGTGGTTGCTGTCTACCAGTTTAAACTGTAGTGTAAAGCACCCTTCTGGCAAGACAGTGATGGAGTGAATGATGGTGAGTTTTTCTTTTTCGGGCCACCCTGCCTTGGTGGGAATCGGCCAGTGTGATAATAAAAAATAAAAATAATTCAGGGGAACCGGCAGGCCAGACTTCGAGTCCTGGAGATGGGAAGTACAGTGCCCACACTCTGAAGGAGGGGTGTTAATGGTGTAGTTTTATAACTGTAGTTTAAGCACATCTCTGGCAAGACAGTGATGGAGTGAATGATGGTGAAAGGTTTTCTTTTTGGGCCACCCTACCTTGGTGGGAAATGGCTGATATGTTAATAAAATAACATAATATAAAGTACTACAGTAGTTCTGGAGTTAGCACATTAACATATCATACAAAATCAAACTAATAGGTAGATTAATGTATATTCAACCTTTTAAACTCTAACGAGAATAACAAAGCCTATACTGGTACGTACCAAGTGGAAGAGAGGTGAGCTTATTATAATTCATGTTGAGCTTGGTAAGGTACTTGGCTCTGGAAAAGATACCGTATGGTATCTTGTCAACAAGGTTGTGCTCCAGGTTAATAGAATGAACATTAGTGAACTGAGATGGCCCTCCAACTGGATATGAGTTGAAGGCATTTCGTGATAGAGTGAGGGATGAAAGATTAGAAAGAGAACTAAGGAGGCCCTCTGGAAGCTGGGAAATCTGGTTACCCTCAACATTAAATTCATCAAGGTTGATGCACTTGCTAAGTGATCGAGGGACAGCAGTCAACTGATTATACCTGCAACAACAAAATAAGTAACTTTAGCAATAAACACATTACAGTATAAAGGTCTAGAAATACCTGCACCATAATTTATATACAGTAAACCCTCAATATAATGGACTAATATGAAATATTCTCCAAGTGTTCATTAAATCAGAATGTTAAAAAAAGCAAAAATAAAGTACTAAAGTTGGAGTATATACTTAATATAGTACTACAGGAGGGCCCTGCTTTACAGCATTTTGCTAATGCAGCAGTTTTCAATTATACCCATTCTTTACTTGTTCAGACTTCCTGCAATAAATATATTCACCATTCACTATAAGCTAAGGACAAAGATATTTTAAGGTAAGTAATGTGTAAAGACAAGAATGTTACCCATGAGGGCAAAGAAGGGAATGTATGAGAGTGTAGTGGTTCCAACACTCTTATATGGGTGTGAAGCATGGATTGTAAATGCTGCAGCAAGGAGGCTGGAGGCAGTGGAGATGTCATGTTTAAGAGCACTGTGTAAATATTAGGCAGAGGTGTGGAGTTACTAAAAGTATTATTGAGAGGGGAGTTATTGGAGTTACTAAAAGTATTATTGAGAGAGCTGAGGAGGGGTTGTTGAAGTGGTTTGGTCATTTAGAGAGGATGGAGGGTGTATAAATCTGGATCAGAAATCTTGCCTATGAGGATAGACTGAGGGCCCTGAATCTACACTCTCTAGAAAGGCATAGAATTAGGGGGGGATATGATTGAAGTGTATAAATGGAAAACAGGAATAAATAAAGGGGATGTAAATAGCATGCTAAAAATATCTAGCCAAGACAAGACTCGCAGCAATGGCTTTAAGCTGAAAAAATTCAGATTCAGGAAGGATGTAGGAAAGCACTGGTTTGGAAACAGAGCTGTGGATGAGTGGAACAAACTCCTGAGTATTGTCATAGAATCCAAAACGTTGTGTAGTTTTAAAAATAAATTAGATAAATACATGAGTGGGTGGGTGTTAGTTAGACCTGGCTAGCTTGTGCTACTAGGTCAGATGCCATGCTCTTTCTGTAAGTGAATGTGATCTGACGTGACTAGAATGGGGCATTGGCTTGATCCGGTAGGAGACTTGGACCTGCCTCGCATGGGCCAGTAGGACTGCTGCAGTGTTCCTTCTTTCTTATGTAATGGAGGAGAGGAGGAGCAGGGGTCATCCTAGGAAAAGATGGAGGGACGGGGTAAAAGAGGCTTTGTATGTAAGGGGCTTGGACATACAGCAGGCATGTGTGAGCATGACTAAAAAAAATCGCAATGACACAACTGCAAACAAACCACAGTATGGGCAAGGATTGAACTCGCGGGTTCAATTCCCGCCAGTACAGTGGTACGTGTAAGCATGTTTGATAGAAGTGAATGGAGACGAGTGGCTCTTGGGACTTGATAAGCAGTTGGAGTGTGAGTAGGGTAATATTTGGTGAAGGGATTTAGGGAAACCAGTTAGTCAGGCTTGAGTCCTGGAAGTGGGAAGTATAATGCCTGCACTCTGAAGGAGGGGTCTGGGATATGTGCTGTTTGGAGTGACATCTGAACTGTCGTATCTGAGTGCCTCTGCAAAGATAGTGATTATATGTGAATGATGGTTACAGTGTTTCTTTCTCTTTCTTGTGGAGTCACCCTGCCTCGGTGGGAGACGGCCAACATGTTAAATAAAAAAATAATGTGTGTACTGTATATGCATTTTTAGGCCTAGCTCAATTGCCAACTTAATATATAATAAAATAAACATGTTATCAGGCTTATATATGCATTTTAAAGTGAAAAAGGCTGTGTTTGACTTTAGCGATATTCACCTCACAGCAGTAACCTGGAACCTAATTTGCTGTATAAGTGGGGTCTTCCTGTACACATATAATTTAGATATATTGCACCACAACCTGAAAATCAATGAGATGAAAGCACAATTTACACAGTGGATTTTTCCTGTTATTTCAGAGGTCCATTATATTAAGGTGCATTAAATCAAGGGTTTACTCTGTTTTGCAAGAATATCCTATCTTACATTCTAAATAGTTCATCCAGAATCTGTGCTTGAAGTGTCATTCTCAAAATGTGAATAGTAATCCATGCACAATGTTTAGCTTGCACAATCCTCCAGTCAATAAAATTTTCACTCACTAATAAACTTGTAAAGCAATTTAGAATTAGTGGAGGAGGAGGAGAGGGAAGAGAATAAAGCATAGAGTACTAAACAAAAATAAAATCAAAATGAGAATTGATATTCAGATGGGTTTAGCAGTGACAGCTAGGGATAGCATATTAGGGTAGCAGAGAACTGAGAGCCAAGAATAATCATAAGGTGTATTAAAACAAAATTTCCAACTGTGGACATTTCTGAATTCATTACTTATTCAGTTAAATGGCCTTCTTGGTTTCCCTAATAAGAACTTTTAGAAAAAATAAATCTTTTTTTTCCCCTTGACATCTGGTATTACCTACCAAAAATCTGGATCACAGCTGAACCCAACCCAATATTAATTAAAATGAAAACTTTACCCACAAAATCAGGCCCACCCATTACTTCAAAATGAAGAAAGGCAAGTATAATGTTTTCTTCAGCACTTTTAAACACTACTTTCTATTGTATGGTCTACAAAGTCAAAAATAAATACAGCACATCCACTAACAAGAATGCCTGAGAACCACTAGCAGACACAATTAATAGATACAAACTCATTATAATTACAGAAAAAAAAGACATGCATGGTAAAACACCAAGAAAATTATGGAAATTTACAAGAAATGTAAAATAATTTAGTTACTAACAATAAATGCAAAAACCTTTCTAATGTAAAATTTTGGCAAGCACAAAAATAATCTGAAGGATGGGTAGGTGTACTCACCTATTCAACTACATATTTTTTTTTTTTTTAGCACAATGGCCATCTCCCATATGACACACATTCCTATGAAGTTTCATTTCCCTTTTTTAGCTTCATGAACCCTATTGTACGTGTTTTTAAAGTATGCATGGAGCTTGCCTCCACTGCTTTTTTCACCAAGATCACTTTCTGACCACCCTGAGACTAAAGATATAGTTCTTGACATCCCCATGACTCATCTGTCTTTAACTTGCAGTTGTGTTTCCCAAGTCCCATTTCTAGCCTTTCCAACAGTCTGTCCCTCTCTATCCTCCTGAGTATTATGTATGTTGTAATCATATCTCCCTGGCTCTTTTATCCTCTAATATCATTAGATTCAATCCATCATCTTTCCTCATGCTCAAGCCACTTAACAAAGTGTGCAAAACCCCATCACAATTCAAATGATCTTCTAAACTGCAACACAACACAGTTTAAGACAGCTAAAGAATAAGTCATGGTGAATGTGTTTTCTTTTTGAGGGTCAACCTGTCTTGGTGGGAATTAGCTGGCATTAAAAAAAATGGGAAGTATATTTTACTGAGGCCCAAAAAGGTGAGATTTCAAGTTTAAATAGACGTGCAGCCCAAAAAGCCTTGTGTTGTGATGTAGTGTCTGCAGACTATAAATTCCCAATTTCCTCGAATAAAATGTTTAGATGATTGGTAGGCAACATCAAGAGTTACCAATCTGAAAGTTTCCCCTATGCCTCAGGCAGTTTAATCTTTTTTTTCAGTAAAAGATAAGTTAATTAAATTCTGTAAAGAAAAAATATAAAAAAATCATTATGACAAATATACATAAAATATCTAATCAATACAATAATGTCTAAGGAAACTTAAGTTTAAAAATAATAATAATTAAACATCAATGATAATTCCCAAGGACTTATGTTCATTTACATTTTTTACGCTCAAGTTAGTACAGTATATTTATTGCAGTGCAACACTTTTTTTTTGACATTTATTGTTACCAGTCCAGAACTTGCCTTCACATTTTAGGTATTTAACAAAATGAGGTAAATTATAATACATATAGTAATGTATTGGCTACTATTTTATCCTATTTTCCACTCATTTGTAAGATATTTGAATTATTGCAGAAAATGTTATGAAGTAAGTATGTATTATCCTGCTATCAAAGCAAGTTACAAAAGCATTTTCATTATTGTGCTTTAAGTCTATTAGAAACCAAATGGTAGAATACTGGAATGGGATCCATAAGGAGACAGTGTGTACTATAACCACTGGAAAAATTACAAAATAATAAAGACAAGACACAAAAAGTATAGCCTTGCTACTGTACAAATAATCATGAGTAGGTGACTGGTAGGCAACCAACATCATAAAAGGGAGATCAGAGGAGTGAACAGAAAAACTACCATGAGGAATATGACTAAAAAAAAAAAAATTTCAACACGGCTGTTTCCCACACCAAGGCAGGGTGACCCAAAAAAGAAAGAAACACTTTCACCATCATTCACACAAAATCATTGTCTTTGCTGAGGCACCCAGATATGGTAGTTTAGATGTCACTCCAAACAGCCAATATCCCAAACCCCTCCTTTAAAGTGCAGGCACTGTACTTCCCCACCTCCAGAACTCAAGTCATAGTACAGTCAAGGTATAGTATGATAAAATAAGTTACCTGAAGGTTAATGGTTATCACCAATCCAATGATGCCTAGTTTTCTTAGAAAATTAAGCATCAATGTAATTATATCCTAGTATTCTTATTAATTTTAGGTAGCAGGCTGGTAGACAGCAACCACCCAGGGAGTACCGTCCTGCCAAGTGAGTGTAAAACGAAAGCCTGTAATTGTTTTACATGATGGTAGGATTGCTGGTGTTCATTTTTCTGTCTCACGAACGTGCAAGGTTTCAGGTACGTCTTGCTACTTCTACTTACACTTAGGTCACACTACACATACATGTACAAGCATATATATACATACATACCCCCCTGGGTTTTCTTCTATTTTCTTTCTAGTTCTTGTTCTTGTTTATTTCCTGTTATCTCCATGGGGAAGTGGAACAGAATTCTTCCTCTGTAAGCCATGCATGTCGTAAGAGGCGACTAAAATGCCAGGAGCAAGGGGCTAGTAACCCCTTCTCCTGTATATATTACTAAGTGTAAAAGGAGAAACTTTTGTTTTTCCTTTTGGGCCACCCCGCCTCGGTGGGATACAGCCGGTGTGTTGGTAGAAAGAAAGAATTCTTATTAATATTCTTACATGAGCCTAAATTCACATAGTACATACTTTGAGGTTCCTGATGTCTTCTCCAACAACTTTGATCCTGTTGAACCTGAGAAACAGTGTGGTGAGAGATGTCAGCTTATACACCACATCAGGGATCTCATTCAGCTTGTTGTGACGCAAGTCAAGAACTCGTAACTTCTCCAACTTAGCTAAGGTATCTGGTAAAGATGTGAGGGAGTTCTCTGACAAGCCAAGGGTTTGTAGATTTACCAAATGCCCAATTTCAGGAGGCAATGTGACCAGTTTGTTACTGTAATAAGAACACAAATATTAAATTGTAAAATTTGCACTTATACAAGCAATTGTTATTAACTGTCAACTCACATTAAAATCAAATTAAACAAGATTAACTTGTTTTTTGTACATTTACTTCTATCCATAATAACAGATGTCCAGCGAATAGGAAAACAACAACTGTCTCTAATTTATGCATGAAAACAAACAATATGCAGACGCATTATAACGTCATGTGCTTGCACTCTAATTTTTTTTTTTTACTGATATAGAAGACCCCGGTTTTCGTAATTAATCCATTCCAGAAGGTTGGCCTAAATCCGAAATGGCCGAAAACCGAAGTAATATTTCCCATATGAAATAATGTAAATCTAATTAAACTGTTTCAGACACCCAAAATATTAACAATAAATACATTTTATAGAGAATAACTATAGTTTTATATACATCAGGGCCCCGCTTTATGGCGTTTCACTTTACGGCATTCCGCTAATACGGTCATTTCAAATTACGACCAAAACTCGCTATACGGCTCCCCCCACCTGACTTTCTAATACGGTCACCGCGCCCCACCCTGTTTGTTTACATTCTTCGTGAGCTCAGTAAGCACTAAGTCTCTCCATTTTGTCTGGAAACTCCAAAATTTCAAATGTTTTTAAAAGTTATTTCATATTTTATATATACTCTGATAATTATACTTATGTATACCTGTACTTAAATAAACTTACATACTGTGCTGGCATGCAGGTACACATTAAAATCAGTAAGAGTGTCTTATGTCTCCAGACATCATATTAGTAATGATAATAATCGAGTCTCATTTAAATGTCGTATATTACATTAAATACACATCTTCATTAATCCATCTATGAAATTTTTTCAAAATTATATAATAAACACGATACATAACATAAAAAGATGATAAATACACCCCACATGTGGTAGCAGACGACTTGCACAAGTGACGCCATATTAGAAATGATAATTTTTTTTTTTTCAACAAGTCGGCCGTCTCCCACCAAGGCAGGGTGACCCAAAAAAGAAAGAAAATCCCCAAAAAAAAAATACTTTCATCATCATTCAACACTTTCACCACACTCACACATTATCACTGCTTTTGCAGAGGTGCTCAGAATACAACAGTTTAGAAGCATATACGTATAAAGATACACAACATATCCCTCCAAACTCCCAATATCCCAAACCCCTCCTTTAAAGTGCAGGCATTGTACTTCCCATTTCCAGGACTCAAGTCCGACTATATGAAAATAACCGGTTTCCCTGAATCCCTTCACTAAATATTACCCTGCTCACACTCCAACAGATCGTCAGGTCCCAAGTATCATTCGTCTCCATTCACTCCTATCTAACACGCTCATGCACGCTTGCTGGAAGTCCAAGCCCCTTGCCCACAAAACCTCCTTTACCCCTCTTTCCAACCCTTTCGAGGACGACCCCTACCCCTCCTTCCTTCCCCTATAGATTTATATGCTTTCCAAGTCATTCTACTTTGATCCATTCTCTCTAAATGACCAAACCACCTCAACAACCCCTCTTCTGCCCTCTGACTAAAGATTTTATTAACTCCACACCTTCTCCTAATTTCCACACTCCGAATTTTCTGCATAATATTTACACCACACATTGCCCTTAGACAGGACATCTCCACTGCCTCCAACCGTCTCCTCGCTGCTGCATTTACCACCCAAGCTTCACATCCATATAAGAGTGTTGGTACTACTATACTTTCATACATTCCCTTCTTTGCCTCCGTAGATAACGTTTTTTGACTCCACATATACCTCAACGCACCACTCACCTTTATTCCCTGATCAATTCTATGATTAACCTCATCCTTGATAAACCCATCCGCCGACACGTCAACTCCCAAGTATCTGAAAACATTCACTTCTTCCATACTCCTCCTCCCCAATTTGATATCCAATTTTTCTTTATCTAAATCATTTGATACCCTCATCACCTTACTCTTTTCTATGTTCACTTTCAACTTTCTACCTTTACACACATTCTCAAACTCATCCACTAACCTTTGCAATTTTTCTTTAGAATCTCCCATAAGCACAGTATCATCAGCAAATAGTAACTGTGTCAGTTCCCATTTTGAATTTGATTCCCCATAATTTAATCCCACCCCTCTCCCGAACACCCTAGCATTTACTTCCTTTACAACCCCATCTATAAAAATATTAAACAACCATGGTGACATTACACATCCCTGTCTAAGACCTACTTTTACCAGGAAGTATTCTCCCTCTCTTCTACATACCCTAACCTGAGCCTCACTATCATCATAAAAGCTCTTTACAGCATTTAGTAACTTACCACCTATTCCATATACTTGCAACATCTGCCACATTGCTCCTCTATCCACTATCATATGCCTTTTCTAAATCCATAAATTCAATAAAAACTTCCCTACCTTTATCTAAATACTGTTCACATATATGCTTCAATGTAAACACTTGATCTACACATCCCCTACCCACTCTGAAGCCTCCCTGCTCATCCGCAATCCTACATTCTGTCTTATCTCTAATTCTTTCAATTATAACCCTACCGTATACAGTGGACCACCGCATAGCGATATTAATCCGTGCAAGAGAGCTCATTGTTATGCGAAATTATCGTTATGCGAATGAATTTTCCCCATAAGAAATAATGGAAAACAAATTAATCCGTGCAAGACACCCAACAGTATGAAAAAAAAATTTTACCACATGAAATATACATTTTCCTACACACAAAGAGAAGGATACATGCACAATAGTAGAGTAGTACATGCACAATATATATTGTGCATGTACTACTCTACTAAATGAAGAATAAATGACACTTACCTTTATTGAAGATGCAGCAATGACTGATGAGACACTGTGTCCTGGGAGTGCCTTTTCCTCCTGAGTACTGTAGGTCCTGTTTGGCATTTTCTTCCAGAACAGGCCTTATCACACTGTGTATGCCACTACGATTCTTAAATCTCTCAAACCAACCTTTGTTGGCTTTAACCCTTTCAGGGTCCGTCCCGTAGATCTACGGCTTTACGTTCAGGGTCCAAACCGTAGATCTACGCCATGAGCTCAGCTCACTCTGATAAACTGTGAGTGGTACTTTGGGCCTAGATATGAGAGAATACATCTATGTGGTATGTGTGCACCACATAAAACAGATCCTGCAGCACACTGTGTATAATGAGAGAAAAAAAATGAAATCATGATTTTTCGATTAAAACAGCAACTTTGCAGTGTTTTTTCGTATGTTTTTTATAGTTGTATTTGCGATTTCTTGATCTCATTTGATAGAATGGAAGACATATTACAGAAATAGAGATGATTTTGATTGGTTTTAGCATTGGAAATGGCTTGAAACTGAGCTCAAAGTAGCAGAAATGTTAAATTTTTGCCGATATTCAAGAGTAAACAAACGACCTCACACATCTAATACACGTCAGTGGTGGGTCTAATATACATTCACAAATATGGTGTTTGATATTTATACAATTATTACAATATTGCATAGCAGTAAATCTTCTATTTTTTGGTGTGAATAAAAATTCATTATGTGAATAAAAAATCAAAATGGAATTTATTTGTAAAGCCTCAAAACATAACTAATGAACAGAGGAAATGTTAGTTTAGTGCCAGAAATGCCTACATTGTTCATTATGGACCCTATTTTGAAATTGGAATGTTTTGAACTTTGTGTTAAATTGGCCAAATTAACAATTTCCGGTCACTTTATTTGTAGTTGAAACAGTTGACTTGGCGATTTCTTGTGCTCAATCGATAGAATAGAAGTAATACTAGTGAAATAGCTAAGAATTTGGTTGATTGGAATAATGTAATTGGCCTAAAATGGGAGTCAAAGTATGCAAAATCACCGATTCGTAAATATCGCTGAGACATCAAAATTCGCGAGAGCATAATTTCGTCAATTTTCCACCAAATTTCCTACTTTTTGTTTTATTACCTTCACAAAAAGATTCTCTACGATTTCATAAGAAAAAATAACAAATTTTTTTTTTGAAAATTCTTGGACACTGGTGCGTGACTCCAGATTTGGGCCTTGGACCCTGAAAGGGTTAAATTCACCAATATGAGCACTAGTTCCAGGCATTTTTCCCTGTTTACCTGGGTGTTAGTCGACTGGTGTGGGTTGCATCCTGGGAGACAAGATTAAGGACCCCAATGGAAATAAGTTAGACAGTCTTCGATGACACTGACTTTTTTGGGTTATCCTGGGTGGCAAATCCTCTGGGGTTAATTGTTTCTTGGTATTCTCAATAAGCCACACCAACAACAGTGCTACAGCAGAAGCAGCAGCAGCTGACAGTGCTACAGCAGCAGCAGACGATGCTATAGCAGCAGCAGACGGTACTACAGCAGCAGCTGACGGTGGTACAACAGCAGCAGCAGCTGACAGTGCTACAGCAGCAGCAGACGATGCTATAGCAGCAGCAGACGGTACTACAGCAGCAGCTGACGGTGGTACAACAGCAGCAGCAGCTGACAGTGCTACAGCAGCAGCAGACGATGCTACAGCAGCAGCAGACGATACTACAGCAGCAGCAGACGGTACTACAGCAGCAGCAGCAGCTGATGGTGGTACAGCAGCAGCAGCAGCTGATGGTGCTACAGCAGCAGCAGCAGCTGACAGTGCAGCAGCAGCTGATGGTGGTACAGCAGCAGCAGCAGCAGCTGTACCACCAATAGTAGCGATGGTTGATTGGGGTTTATTATACAACCTGGCCAGCTCGGAGACACGCACTCCACTTTCATACTTATCAATGATCTTTTTCTTCATCTCTATAGGAATTCTCACCCTTTTTGCTGTAGGGTTGGCACTAGAAGCTTTCTTGGGGCCCATGGTCACTTATTTTGCAGATAAAATCACCAAAAACACTGTAATAATACGAAATGTTCCGATTGTATGCTTGGATGTTACCGCGGAGGCTGGCTGGTAAACAATGCCACCGGCGGAACATGTGAGCGTGGCTCAGGCCGCACATAGACGCGTCTCAGACGAACAGCGTTGAGCGGGTTTTTTAGCGGTGTGCGAGGCAAAATCTTGGCGATAAAATGTAGCAGTATGCGGATTTAACGTTATGTAAGGCCAACGGTATGCGGGGGTCCACTGTACTTTTCCTGGTATACTCAGTAAACTTATTCCTCTATAATTTTTACAATCTCTTTTGTCCCCTTTCCCTTTATATAAAGGGACTATACATGCTCTCCGCCAATCCCTAGGTACCTTCCCCTCTTTCATACATTTATTAAACAAAAGTACCAACCACTCCAACACTATATCCCCCCCTGCTTTTAACATTTCTGTCATGATCCCATCAGTTCCAGCTGCTTTACCCCCTTTCATTCTACGTAATGCCTCACGTACCTCCACCACACTTACATTCTGTTCTTCTTCACTCCTAAAAGATGGTATACCTCCCTGGCCAGTGCATGAAATTACCGCCTCCCTTTCTTCCTCAACATTTAAAAGTTCCTCAAAATATTCTCACCATCTACCTAATACCTCCCTCTCCCCATCTACTAACTCCCCTACTCTGTTTTTAACTGACAAATCCATACTTTCCCTAGGCTTTCTTAACTTGTTTAACTCACTCCAAAATTTTTTCTTATTTTCATTAAAATTTCTTGACAATGCCTCTCCCACTCTTTCATCTGCTCTCCTTTTGCACTCTCTCACCACTCTCTTCACCTTTCTTTTACTCTCCATATACTCTGCTCTTCTTATAACACTTCAGCTTTGTAAAAACCTCTCGTAAGCTACCTTTTTCTCTTTTATCACACCCTTTACTTCATCATTCCACCAATCACTCCTCTTTCCTCCTGCCCCCACCCTCCTATAACCACAAACTTCTGCCCCACATTCTAATACTGCATTTTTAAAACTATTCCAACCCTCTTCAACCCCCCACTACTCATCTTTGCACTAGCCCACCTTTCTGCCAATAGTCGCTTATATCTCGCCCGAACTTCCTCCTCCTTAGTTTATACACTTTCACCTCCCTCTTACTTGTTGCCACCTTCCTCTTTTCCCATCTACCTCTTACTCTAACTGTAGCTACAACTAAATAATGATCCGATATATCAGTTGCCCCTCTATAAACATGTACATCCTGGAGCCTACCCATCAACCTTTTATCCACCAATACATAATCTAACAAACTACTTTCATTACGTGCTACATCATACCTTGTATATTTATTTATCCTCTTTTTCATAAAATATGTATTACTTATTACCAAATTTCTTTCTACACATAGCTCAGTTAAAGGCTCCCCATTTACATTTACCCCTGGCACCCCAAATTTACCTACTACTCCCTCCATAACATTTTTACCCACTTTAGCACTGAAATCCCCAATGATAATAATAATAATAATAATAATAATAATAATAATAATCACAGAGTCTCATTAAATGTTGTATATTACGTTAATATACACATTTTCATTAATCCATCCATGATATTTTTCTCAAAATTATATAATTAACACGATACATAACATAAAAAGATGATAAATACACCCCACAATAGAATAAATAAACATAAATATGAGATGTGGTAGCCAGATAACTTGTACAAGTGATGCCAAGAATAACATTTTCTCTAATCTAACATAAGAAAAAATATGTTACTGGGGGTAACTGTAGAAAATTATTCCTTTCGTATGTATGTAAGTAAGTTTATTCAGGAATACACAAATACAGTTACATAGATTATCATACATAACAACATGTGTGTAGAGAACCTAGGATAACCCAAAAAAGTCAGAGTGACTTATTTCCATTGCCTTCACTCAGAGCATCATTTCTTCTCAAAATGATGTTACATGAGAATGGGAGTGTTCTTCTTTATTTATTCTACCATATCAATGTAGAGACAACCTGTACACAATGTAACTTGTACACAAACCAGACGTGTACACTTTGTTTACAAAACTTACCTTCGCCTGGTTTGTTTACATAACTCTGCGCCTGTACTCTCTCATGCACTCATTCTTTCTCTCTCTCATTTATTCGTTTTATCTCATTTACTTACTCCTGACCCTACATTAAGACTACAAATATTTTAAGGTAAGTAATGAGTGAACTGTATATACATTTTATCGCTCTGGGATGCTTAAATGTAATAGAATATTATGTGTAGGTGGGTTGGCCTGGTATGGTAGCCCGGCTGACTACCATACATACCACACTTGATTTCTTACAATAAATACTACTTGTCTCACCCTAGATTAAGACTATAAATATTTTAAGGTAAGTTATGAGTGCACTATGTGTGTATTGTACTTTTTTATTGTTTTATGATGCCTGGTTCTATTGCTAACTTAATATATGTTAGTGTAAACTTGTTATCTAGTGTTTGTATGCATTTGTAAGTGGAAAAAAAGGGTGTTCCACTTTACGGCGGTTTCCGCTTTACGGCGGTAGCCTGGAACCTAACCAGCCGTATAAGTGGGGCTCTACTGTACAGAAAACAATAAGAAATAAATATAAACAACTAGTTTTAATGATAAATGAACACTGCATACCTTTATTGAAGACTCTTGTTGGTGAGTAGTATTTATTTGTAGTTCCAGAGAAACTACATCCCAGGCATATAGCTACATACACTGCGGCCTACAGCCATATTATTACCATCAACATACTATGTTCACTGAGTTTAATCGTTTCTAGCAACTACCTTTAGATGCCATCATAAACAATGGGAGAAGAAATGAATAATTCATGCCAAGAATTGTAAAATCAAGCCTTATGTACTATTAAGGGCGTTTTCTGGGTCATCGCATATTCATACACGTTTTCTCTGAAGCTGGACCAGAGAAAACGTAATGTTTACCCTCCACTCGACCCCACCCCTCGATAGCATATAAACATTGCATGTTTATATATTATGTAATGTGTTTCTTATAGTATAATTTTGAAGAAAATATCATGGATGGATTAATGAAAACGTCTATAATAACCTAAAATAAGACATTTAATGTACTCAAGATTGATTAGTATTAAACATAGTTCTCATACAAACATTGCATGTTTATATGCTATGTAACTTTACACTTCGTGATTTATGTCACTGCATGGTAAACAAAATCTCTCCCTTCACTAAGAATGGTCTGAAAGCCTATAAAAGTTCTAAGGCACACCAGTGCTGTTTTGGGTTAAGTAACAAACTTGCATCAGCATGAGGTACCTGGGGCTGCACCATGTTCTCTTCAAAACTAACTAAATATGCATGTTAAAACAAATAATTAGGCCTCATCAGCTTTTGTTAGTACTGTAACTGGTTTATTTATATTTCTCTTCATTAATGATGCAATATGATACAGTAATTATATAGTTTCTACTAACTGTGTTACTGATTTAAAACAGGTTAGAGCTCTTTTCATTACTAGCTACTATTAACTGCTCAAGAGTATCTAGTGATAGAGGTGTTTATACCAGTAACCACTGAGAGAGGACTATTGATTTCCTTCCTTTTCTCTCATTAACATGATAATGGCTAAGGATGGACTGAATCGTCTACTTTCACCTCTAATTCATGGATCAGTTGCAAGAATTTTTACCTAAGAGAAACAACAAATATCTGAAACTTCCACTCCTCGAAATATAAAAATTATTGTAGTATTTAATATTTTATTCAATTTTATTATTACATAAGAAATATTAAAATGCCATTTCTTACCTGTATAAATAAAACTCGACCAGGTGTGTGAGGTTCTGCACTGATGATGGTAAGTGACTGATGCTCGAGTTGCTGAGGTCCAAACGCTGGGCTCCATCATCCTTGCACCTACAGAACATTTATACTTACACAACTAATAATTAAAATATTCCTAGGTTCCATAACACCATTAATTAAAAATGCATATAACAAAATATCTAGTAATTAGTCTCAAAAAGTAAAATGCTTTAAGTCGATGTGAGCCATAAGACAGGAAGGGAAGGGTGGAGTATAATTTCACCCAATCATATTCTGGTACAGGTCCGCCATCACAAATCTGGCAATCAGTTATTCGGTTCCTTCAGTTATTCGGCACTAATTTTGGCTAGCATAATTTCAAATTTCCAGGGTCGCCACACCAACCTGCTGGTACTGTTTGGTGGCGCTACTTGCTGCATAAGTCACTCCAATTTCTTTTTCTCCACTTATTGTTATAACCTGCTTACTTTTCGTCTTAGCCACGGTTCCAATGAATAAAAGAAATGCTCCTCATTATGTAAAGTACCGACACAGTTCATTATTCATTAAAGATAAGGTGGCTTGGAAGCCACTGTTGGTTGCCATGAGCTCAGTCTCGTGATGCAGGAGAATATGGTTTATTATTATGCTAATATCAACACTACAGCTTATTTGCCTATCACAATTGATCTAATATGACATAATAAACAATATAAATAACATAAAACATGTTAAATACTCCAGAATAAATAATATTTTGCATAACACCGAGCAGTTCGACGGAGGTATGAAGAGGATATGGTATACAAATACCATTCTCCTATCCCTGTCTAGGGGGCTTATATTAGAGAAAACAGAGTATAGCACAGGGCTAACTGTGATATACACTCATACTGCACCATAATCCTGAAGCAAAAAAGTTATTTTCTCTATATAGATTATCACACATAGCAGCATATGTGCAGAGAACCTAGGATAATCCAAAAAAGTCAATGTGGCTTATTTCTAGTACCTGGCTTGGGTTAGCCATATATGATTTTTTGGTAAATATTAGATTCCCAGCCAGGGTAGAAACATTAGGCGTGTTTCTTTACACCTGTTGTCTATGTTTACCCATCAGTAAATGGATACCTGGGTGTTAGCCGACTAGTGTGGGTGTTATCCTGGGACACTGACCTAATTTTCTTGAAATATGTACTCTGCATAACAAGCTGCTTTCTATATAATAGTATGTCACTGATGTCAGCTAGGCCTGCATACCTTGTACATGTATGTGTAGTAAATAAAGATATTATTATTATTATTTTCTCAGTTGTTTGTTGGGTTATCTTACTGAAACTTGGGCAATGTATGATGGAAAGATACTTCTTAACGTACACCAAAAATGAAAGAAATCAGACCATAAATAGCAGAGTTCACTTCTCAGCCATTAGCGGCCGCTTCACGGTATATTTTTGTATGGTTTTTATGGTTATACAGTGGAACCTCAAAAATCGAACTTAATCCGTTCCAGAAGCTAGTTCTAAATTCGAAAAGTCTGAAATTCGAAGCAATATTTCCCATAAGAAATAATGGAAATACAATTAATCCGTTCCAGAAACCCAAAAATATTCACACAAAAAATACATTTTAGAGAGATTAATTACAGTTTTACATACAACAAATACTATAGTTTTTAATTATGTATAGTAATACATATAAAATAACATTTTTACTTACCTTTATTGAAGATTGGTGATGGCATCTGGAAGATAGGGAGGAGGAGAGAGGGAGTTGGGGTTAGTGTTTGGAAGGAGAATCCCCCTCCATGAGGACTTCAGGTAAAGTCCTCTCTGGGGTTACTTCCCTTCTCTGTCTTTTAATGCCACTAGGACCAGCTTGAGAGTCACTGGACCCCTGTCTCACCAAATAACTGTCCACAGTCCTCTGTTTCTGGCACCTCTTTAACATTTCCCTAAAATGGGACATGGTTCTGTCACTGAACTTGTTGCAAAGATGGCTTGTTTCAGCTTGCTCAGGGTGGTACTTCTGCACAAACATTTGGACATCATTCCACTTGGCACAAATCTCCTTAATCTTTGAAGAAGGCACCTCATCCACTCCCTATATTAACACCTTTCGCAACATCAGCTTCCTCGATTTGTTCTTTCTTTGACAGGATAGAACCGATGGTCGACTTGTTTTTCCCATACATCCTGGCAAGCTCAACAAGTCTCACACCACTCTCATACTTCTGTATTATTTCCTTCTTCACATCTATGGTGTTTCTCACTTTCTTTACCACAGGGGTACCACTAGCAAGTTTCTTTGGGCCCATGGCAGCTTATTTAACAGTCCCACAAGCACTAAATACAACGAAATAATCGTAAAATGCGTGAATGAGAGCGCAGGTTAGTGTTCACTCAAGCATCAACAAAGCTAGACTGCTCACGGCGCCTGCATAGGGACGCGGACAGAGAGGGCCGGAAGACAGGTCCCGTACCCGGCAGTCCGAAAATAGGGGCGCATTCGATAATAGGGACACAGTTTGTCCGAAAAAATGGTCCTATTTTCGAAACGTTCCACTGTATTCTCATTTTTTCGGTCTCATTTGATAGAATGAAAGATATATTACAGAAATAGATATGATTTTGATTGCTTTCATGATGAAAAGTACCTTGAAATTGCTCTCACAGTAGCGAAAATGTTCTATTCTTTAGTGAAGCTCAAGAGTAAACAAATGCCAGTCCAAATTCCAATACGGAGTCAAGAATGGGTTGACATTATTTATACAATTATTACAATAATGCAGCAGTCTGCATAACAGTAAATATTCTATTTTTTTGTGAATAAAAATTCCAAATGGTAAGCAAGAGTAATATAAGAAAGGCCTGTAGCTGTGACTAATGAACAGAGAAAATTTTATTTTAGTGCCAGGGAGGTCTGCATTGTTTATTCTGGACCCTATTTTGAAATTGGCATCTGTTGAAATTTGTGTGAAATCGGCCAAAGAGCCAATTTCTGACCACTTTATTGGGTAGTTGAAATAAGTGAATGGGCAGTTTCTTGTACTCAGTTGACAGACTAGAAGTAAATAAGTTTATTCAGGTATACACAAATACAAATACATAGATTATCATACATAGTGGTGTATGTATAGAGAACCTAGGATAACCCAAAAAAGTCAGACAAAGTGACTTATTTCCAGTACCTGGCTTGGGCTTGCCATATATGATTTTTGGTAAATATTTTTTTTCGGTTGTTTTTTTGGCTATTATTGAAACTTGGGCAATGTATTTGGGAAGATGCTTCTTAATCAACAAAAAATAAAAAAGACGGACGATAAAAAAGGGGAGTTCAGTTCAGCCATTAGCCGCCGCTTTGCGTATATTTTTTTTATGGTTTTTATGGTTGTTTTTTTATGGTGGGGGCTGGCCCTAAGCGAAAAAAGCTAAAGGGGGTAGGGGAGTTTGGGGGGGGGAAATAAGGGGATTAAATTGGAGTATCTGAGAGAGTTAGGCAAGGAAGGGGTCGTAATGTTGAAGGATCAGTTAGGGAAAGGAGAAAAGAAAATTAAATGTGAAAATTCAAATTTTATGTGGTTAAAGTAAACGTGGTGCAAAAAGTGGGTCATAATAAGCGTGTTGCCCCTGGAGAAGAGAGGAATGTAGAGGAGAGAAGAGATTTTGGGGGGATGTTAAGTGAATGTAAGGAGCCTTTGAACAATGAGAGGTCATTGTGGTAGGGGGGTTTAATGCTAAAAATAGGAGAAAACTTTTAGAGAGGGGGTGGGGGTAGTTTTTGGGGTGCCAGGGGTAAAAGTAATGGAAGCCCTTTGATTGAACTTTGTATAGAAAGGGGTTTAGTTATAGGTAATACTTTTTTAAAAAAAAGAGGATAAATAAGTTTCAAAAATGATGTAGGGCGAAAAAAGACAGTGTTTGTTGGATTTGATTTGGAGTAAAAAACTTCAGGTGTACTGTTTATAGAGGGGCAAGAATTTTCAGAACACTTTTAGTTGTAGCTCCTGAGAGTAAAAGGTGTGGGATACAAGGGGAAAAAAGAAGCATGGGAAGAAGAGGGAAGGGTTTTAAACTAAAAGGGAGGCAGTTGGGTAAAATATAAACGTATTTGGGGGATAGATGGGCTAATGAGAGCATAGGAAATGGGTCGAAGAGGTATGGGGTAGGTTTAAAAAAGTAGTGTTTGTGTTCAACAGAAGTTTGTGGTTACAGGAAAGTGGGGTGCGGGTGGGAAGAGGAGCGATTGGTGGAATGATGATGTAAAGAGAGTAGTAAGGGAGAAAAGATAGCATATGAGAAGTTTTTACAAAGTAGAAGTGATGCAAGGAGGGAAGAGTAATGGAGAAAAAGAGAGAGGTTAAGAGAGTGGTGAAGAAATGTAAAAAGAGAGCAAATGAGAGAGTGGGTGAAATGTTATCAACAAATTTTGTTGAAAAATAAGAAAAAGTTTTTGGGGTGAGATTAACAAGTTAAGGAAGCCTAGAGAAACAATGGAATTGTCAGTTAAAAATAGGAGAGGAGAGTTATTAAATGGAGAGTTAGAGGTATTGGGAAGATGGAGGGAAATATTTTGAGGAATTGTTAAATGTCGATGAAGATAGGGAAGCTGTGATTTTGTGTATAGGGCAAGGAGGAATAACATCTTGTAGGAGTGAGGAAAAGCCAGTTTTGAGGTGGGGGAACTTCGTGAGGCAGTAGGTTAAATGAAAGGGGGTAAGGAGCTGGGATTGATGGGATAAAGATAGAAATGTTAAAAGCAGGTGGGGATATAGTTTTGGAGTGGTTGGGGGCAATTATTTAATAAATGTTGGAAGAGGGTAAGGTCCTAGGGATTGGCAGAGAGGGATGCATAGTTCCTTTGTATAAAGGCAAAGGGGACAAAAGAGGGGTGCAAAAATTTAGGGGGATAAGTCTGTTGAGTTACCTGGTAAAGTGTATGGTAGAGTTATTATTGAAAAAATTAAGAGTAAGACTGGAATAGAATTGCAGATGAAAAAGGAGGCTTTTGGAAGGTAGGGGGTGTGTGGACCAGGTGTTTACAGTGAAAACTTAAGGGGAACAGTATTTAGATAAGGCTAAAGTGGTCTTTGTGGCATTTATGGATTTGGA